TGACCTATCCCCTTCCTAACTCCCTACCTACACTCACCTTTCCTGGCCCCATCCCCGCCTCTTCGACCTGTTTGTTTCCTCTCCTCTATCCCTCTTCTATCCGCCTCCCACTCTCTCCCTATTTATTTCAAAACCCCCTTCCCCTCCCCCTTTTCTGATGAAGGGTCTAGGCCCGAAACGTCAGCCTCTCTGCTCCTATGATGCTGCTTGGCCTGCTGTGTTCATCCAGCCCTGCACCTTGTTGTCTGAGATGAGGCCATGTCAGCATTTCAAGGAGAGGATTTTAAAATATATTATGTTGGAAGAAAAAGATCCAATATAGGTCAGCAATGTTGGAGTTGATGGGTAGATTAATAAATAACTGGACAGCTGAGTTTTTTTAAGAAAATGAAGGCTGGCAAAGAAGAGATCAGAGAGGTCAGACATACAGATGATGAAGGCATGGATAATGCCTAAGTGGAAGAAAGCCAGTTTAGTGCTAGATAGGGACTTGAAACACAGCTTGAACCTGAATAGATCATTAATATTTCAAACAAACAATCTGGTTTATGTAGTTAGGGAGAATGAAAGCAGTCGAGGTATCAGAGTATACATTTCATACCAATTTCAGATTTTTCCACTCTCATCAGCAACGATCCCACCAAAATACATCTGCTATTTGTGTCAGTTCCGCCTTCTGCTTCTAACTTTCTAAAGCAAAACTGCTGCTGTTCTACAGTAAATGAGTCTTCAACACAATTAGAGAATTATTATTCTCTGAATCTGGGTCTTGTTGAAAAGCCTCATACCTGGAATCTTATAAGCACCCAGCTCAATTTATGCAATTATTGTCCATATTAAATGTCTCTAACCAGGAACAGGAAAGTTTCAAGCTGTTGCATTCTTACTATTGAAGGCCAAGTCCAGGGCCTGAGGACATAAACAACATAATCTAGGTTGACACTCAGTACAGTGCTGCAATGTAGGGGTTCTGTCATTCAGAAAACATGTTTAAACAGGACTTAATAAGGCACTATACAAATACAAATTCTTCTACGCAGCAAGATGGAAGAAACTTGGACAGCACAGAACTCTTAGCCACGGACTGGATGGACACCACCATATTCTCAATTCCAACTGTACACTGGAGTAAAGCACTCAATGAAAGCCTTGCAACTCTACATAGCACCCATGGGAATGTCTAGATGCCAAGGAGGCTTCAGGTTGTTGTGGTTCTATGTTTGCTTCACAGAAACCTGCCAACTTCATTGCAGGACTATTTATTTGAAGATATATTACAAAATTGCTAATTAGACAGATTTACTCTAAAGATTCAGCAACTACTGTTACAGGAAAGAATAGCTACTTCACACTACTTACTGCCAGTTGGATCGTGCAATGGCTGTTAGTCATCCTAGTTACACATTTATGAGCATATTCCTCTTAATATTATGTTAAAATACAGATGGAAAGAGCTTCCCATCCACACACTCACTTAAGTTTAATTTAGATAAAAATTATATTCTTCCTAGTCTATCTTGGGTACACAGATGAAATGTTACTAGCAAAATCTAGCTTTGGGAAAGAAATACCTGGAATAAAGAGGGTCTTCAGGTCCCTTATAAACAATATATGAATGTCAACTGAGCACTAGACAGGCCACTGGAAGTTGTTTTTAAATTTACCAAGTCCTTTGTATGAGTGGGATTGAAAACTACAAAGTGCAGGTAACGATCAAAAAAATTATGAGAAGATGGGACGTCCAAGTACCTTTCAAGAATTTAACATGTCCATTGTTTGTTACTCAAAAAAGCACAATCATGTTGTACCAAAAATCTCAATGGCACTAACCTGAAGAGCAAGAGGCGAGTTGCCATTCTGAGCTCTATCCCAACAGGCTACAAGCTTCTCCACATTACCAGCGCAGATATAGCACAGGCAGGCTTGGGACTGAAGGCTGATATCCCCCTCATTCTCCAACCGTGTGCCCAAGAAGTCTATGATGGAAGCAGACAAAAACATAAGGCACACCAAAATCTTTTATACTCAGTAATTTATCTTCCACTTGCAAACCAGACTCTAACCATCGTGGGTTTCCCTTTCCAGTTGTGCAGCAACATAAGCTGTATTGTGCTACCAGTTGGTATTGCTAATTGTGGCATCCCCTTCCAAATCCCCTCTTCCCTGCTTCCTGATTGGTGCAATTCTGGTGAGAAAGCAAGGACCAAACCGGCTTTTTTATCATTCATTTTCAATAGCAGAGGCAATAAACTCTTGCACTCCAATGCAGCATAATTAATATCAAAATAGGAGCTAATAAAATGTCACAGAAGTAGGGCAATTGGAATGACAATATGGGGCAATTTTTTCTGTCTTTGCCTCAGCCCACTGTCCAGATGTGCTGCTCCTGCTCAACCCTAGAATCACGGCAATATTCTGGACCCGATCAATTACCGTCCAACTATTAGCCTGGTTGTGCGTTAACAGAAAGGGTAGCAAAACAAAAACAAACTTGTAGGCCTCTCAGGCCTTGGATATAGGAACTTATTTGAAAGGAAATTTTAAAGACAGTTGATTTTTACTTCACCCTTCATTTAAAAAAAAATGCAAGAAATATGACATCATTTGCAATTTGTTTCCATTTTTAGAAACAATGGTGGTGCCTGACCTCTCCCAGAAACATCAGTACTGCGGAATGAAATATAATACTAGAAAGGCATTTTTGTTTTCGGCATACAATCAGTTGTTATGGTACTGACAAACAGTGACTCTGGCTCTTTATCCCATTTTTGGAGTTGTGTATTTTTCAATAAATAGGCCGTGCCTGAGTCACAAAGCAATCTGCCACTAAATCATTTACTTCAATGAGGAATTTCTCTTGACTACGATCAAAGACAGGATAACAAACATTTCAGAATGCAGGACAAAACACCTCTACTCACCACAAAGTGCAGCAAATTCATCAGACCTCGCATAGGTCAACAAGGCAGCCAAAGCTTCCTTCCAGTTCTGAAGATCACATGACTGTAGAATCTCTTTCCAATCTCGTGTCACTACAGCATCTATCAACTAAACATTTCATCCAAAACTTTAGGGCAAAGATGATAAGCATTGAGGTTCAAAACATGCTCAAAATAGAAGCCACCTTACCCTGGTGATCTTGCTCTTTGTTTTGGCAAAGTATTTCTTTTGTGTCTTAGCTAGAAGTTCCTGACCCCCAGCTATTGCTAATATGATGGCATCTGCCATTCGATTATCGTACAAGCAAAGATCAACTGCTCCTTCGAAGTTACCAGTCAGCAAAGCCTGAGTAATCAGCCCATCAACATCTAGAAAATGGAAAGAACTTTTTTTTCAAATGCTTCATTTTAGCAAATTGTTTTAATTCAAGAAATCCTCCAGTGCTGTACTGTGTCAAAGATGTTATCTTTCAAATGAGACATTGAAATGAGACCCTATCTGTTTAGGTGGATGTAAAAATGACACTATATATGAGCTATGCTGATGTTTTAATATCATTTTCTCAATCATCATTCAAAGTTGATGAACTGACAATTCATTAACTGAGACCATATATACAAATGCATTATTGCAATACTTACACTGAAGCAACTACACTTTACAAAGTAATCCATTTGTCACAGAACATCAATGACATAATGAGGAGTGAGGGGAATAAGTGAAAGTCTTTCTTTCCCTTTCCTGATCCAAGATTAGCCCACAACTCCAATTATATACCTGTTTCATCCTCAGGGCCTAAAACTAACGTAGACATGTGATAGGAGACAAGTGTACCCACTGTGTGTGGCAACAGTGTTGGTATAACTGGAGTTCACCTTCTGACTTGCAAGGTTCTCTCCGATTTCATCCTTCTCAAAGTTGTTGCAATTTCAGGTTCACTGTCTTTTAGCAGCCTTGTGTTGAAGGTTGCATTGGAACTGTGCAGATGCCTCTGTCAGCAGTAAAACTCAGGCTTTGCATTTTGCAGTTGAGGGCAAATGGATGAACGCAGACAGGAGCTGACAGACATGTTACTTTTGCACAAGGCCACAGTAAAGGGATGGGTATTTTTATGTGCCGAGAGGCTTAGTGATTTTTTTTTGCATATTAGAGATTTGAATCTGATGCCATGGGACCAGTAGAATAGGAAAATTTGCTCTGACTAGAACCATCAGAGGCAGGGACTAGTGTCACAATTACAGCTTTAAAACTTCATTATGTGGGTAGGGCTTAACCACATACACTACATTCAGCTGCACCTTTTATATTTAATTGTCATTGGGTTTTTTTCTATATTTGTCTAGCAGACCTGCAATACATACATATCACTCAACTAGTTTTGCATGTCATTTTGGCGGGATTAACTGCAATTTTTTCAATAGTAGACAGAAGTCTGCAAAGTATAGTTTTACTAGCATTTAATGAAAATGATGAACTTCATTGAAAGTATTTTTGTTTTCAATGAAAGATTTTTTAAAAATCAGACTACCTTGTGGAAAAAAGCATCACACAAGATCTACTCAGTATTTCATTGTTTGAGCAGGAGTTTCATTCGGGGGCTCATTCTAGAAAGGACTGAGGGAGATGACCAAATGAGCTTTCCTCTTTCTGTGTTACAGACTTGTATGATGCAGGCTTTAAGAGAACTGCCTCATGAAAAATGTAATTAGTGAATTTTGGAGTCTAAATTTCTCCAGTTGATTAACGGAAGAATAAAATGCATTCAAAAATAAGTCATGATCTAAGTTTTGTACTTAGGCTGACTCCTTCAATAGATTTGAAGCAAGAAAGTTTAATCGTTTACTCTTTCATTGTTTTTCTTTCGAACATAAATCCCAAACTTCCACAAACCACTGACCTCCGCTAATAGAAATACTGAATTTGGTTTCATCCTGATTTTGTTCCTCTGACGTGGACTCACTGAGATCCAAATCTCCTTCATCCTCTTCATGCTCACTTTCTGCCTACATGACAAAAGAAAAGCAGTTATTTATCACATACATACACAAAATACTCAAAAGCCAGGCACTACGATAACCAATCTATATTTTAAAGTTATAGGCTACCTTGCTCTTTATGCTATGAGTTCTAGTGCTTTGAAGAATATGGTCAACAAGATGTGTATATTACAAATAAATAATGGAATTATGTGACCGATTGCAACTTTTTCAAGTATAGTGTGGTTGTAAGAGAGATTTTGAGGCACAGACCAAGTACAGATTATAACGTAAAATTCTAGACCATATTGGTTTTCTCCGCGCTGGTTTAGCCAGTGGTTGAGTACTGGAATAGCCAATGTGCAAAGGCCAGGGAGATCCAAGTTCAATTCGCAGCCTACGTTCTTGTAATTGATCTCAGCCAAAGCAGCAGCAGATACATTACAACTGGACTCGGAACCCGTTTCTGGGGTGGATCAGCTGTAATTCCATTTCTTGGTAAATATTCAGCATGCAATGAAAATGTGTGGCTAGACACCAGGAGAGAATGCAAAACTATGAGACATTGTCATTCGCTGTCAGTAGTCACTGCAAAACCTATTTGTGCAGTTAGGTGGCTGTACTCAAGCAAAGAGTCTGCACCTTCAGGAAAGCAGGACTGGGAAGAGAGTCCCTTTTGAAAAAAAAAATGATATGTATGATTATTAAGTATGTTAATGCTCTGATAACATATTCGTTGAAAAATCTGCAACATGTGACCTTACACTGGTTTCAAAGTGAGCAAATAAAGCAGCAAAGTGTTTATCTGCATGCATACATACATATAAAATAATGGGATTGATCTAATACCTCCCCCAGCAATTGATCTTCTATAGCAGGGTTGTCTTCAGCACTTTCTGCTGTATGCTCAAAGTCACCGGCAGCCTTAAAAAGTGGAAGGGTTAAATGACAACACCATAAGGAACATTAGGAAGCACAAGCAAAGCCAGAAGACAATGTCAGACAGGACAATGGGGTAAGCAACATATTCCACAAGTGATGGACCCATGGTATTACAATTTCTATGAGAAGGCCAGTGAAGTACGGCCCCCTTTTCAAACCCTTCTTCAGTCTTCAGTAACTTTGTTAAGATACATGATACAGCAAGTTTGGGATTAAGTCACTTTTCCCTGCTGGCTGTTATAGGTCCCACATAAATTGTGCTTCATTCTTAAAGGGACTAAAAGCTGATAAATCCACAAGTTTCAATAATCTGCATCCCAAGGTAATAATGAAGGTGGCCATGAAAACAGAGGATAGGCTGGAGTCATCTTCCAAAATTCTGGAATAGTCCCAGCAGATTAGAAGGTGGCAAATTCCTTTTTATTTAAAATGGAGGGAGAAAACTGAGAATTACAGACTGGTTAACCTAAAATCAGGCGTAGGGAAAATATTGGAGTCTGTTATAAAGGATGTGATAACAAGACACTTCAAAATTGATAACAGGATTACATAAAGTCAGCATGGATCGAAGAAAGGGAAATCATATTTGACAAACCTACTGGAGCTTTTTGAGGTTGTAAGTAGTAGAATAGATGATTATAGATGAACAGAGTAGAATAGAATGAATGTGCTGCATTTGAATTTTCATAAGATTTTTGATAAAGTCCTATATAACAGGTTACTGTACACAATCAAAGCACATGGGATTGATGGTAATATACTGGCATTGCTTTAAAATTGCTTAGCAGATAGGAGAGAGTGTCACTGGACTCAAAACATCAACTCTGCTTTCTTCCCACAGATGCTGCCAGACCTACTGAGTTTTTCCAGCAATTTCTATTTTTGTTTCAGATCTCCAGCATCCACAGTTCATTGTTTTATTGTGGGGATAAATGGATCTTTTTTCAGCGTGGAAGGTGGTGACTAGTGGATTAACGCAGGGATTATTACATCAATGATTTGGATTAAGGAATCAAATGTAATATTTCCAAGTTTACTGATTATACAAACTACGTGAGATTGAGTAGTAAGGATGTAAAAACGCTTCAGCATAATTTGAGTGACTGCGCAAATGTATGGCAGATGCAGTATAGGATAGGTGTGAAGTTGTCCACTTCAGTACGAAAAGCAAAATGGCAGGCTACTATTTAAATGGTCACTCAGAGATAGTAGGAACTGCCGATGCTGGAGTCTGAGATAATAAGGTGTGGAG